GGGTCTAGGGTTTAGGGTTTAGGGTTTAGGGTTTAGGGCTTGGGGTTTGGGGTTTGGGGCTTTAGGGTTTTAGGGTTTAGGGGTTTAGGGTCTAGGGTTTAGGGTTTTTAGGGTTTTAGGGTTTAGGATTGCAAAAACGTTTGCCGAGGTATGAGTTCAAGCCGGAGAGCACCACCTCGCAGTATATTTCTTCACTCTACTGGGCCATGACCACTGTGACCACGGTGGCCTTGCATCATTCCTGGGTTCTGGAGTACCACCCTTGTTTACTTTTGTTGGGGGAACTTTTTTCCTGAAGGGAACCATTATGAAATAATGATCTATGATCTATATTGTTTACCCCTGGTTACTTCACAGCCCATCAGGAGGTTTCTCTAAGAGCTCCGGGTCTCATGACGACTCTGACTGGAGCAGTGGCCCTTTCTATTGGAGTTTAGGGTTTAGCGGTTTCATTCAGGCGATTGCACAAGCCCTGATGCAAAAAAATGGATTAGGGGCTCGAAGAAATGGATGCCTACTAAATTCCATTCTTTGTCGACAGGAGCTTAGATGTTGCACCCTTGCAGTGGAACCCCTCGTAGTAGCCCTTTATCCCTAACTTAACTAAAACCCTTATAGTACCCCCCCCCCCTGTAGTAACCCTTTATCCCTAAACCCTACGCCCTGATAGTGCCCCTTCCTAGTAACCCTATATCGAAACCCTTATGGACCCCTAGTACTTCCCTAGGCTTCCTGTCTGGAAAGCCTCGCGGTGCTGCAGCTTTTTCGCTCGCCTTTAGAACGGCAGGGCCGGTGGAGTACGAAACGGCACCATTCGGGATACCCTATATTACCCTATGTAACTCTAACTCCCTGAACCCTAAACCCCTCACCCTCTAAAGCCCATAATGAAACCTTCAAACATCGAATCGATTAGACAAACAGTGGGGCTCGAAGTCTCTTCCTCCGATTTAGGGTGTAGGGGTTTAGGGTTTAGGGCCTACTATTGAAGGGGTTTAGGGTAGAAAGGTGGCACTTGGTCGGCTGCGTTGGATTTCACTCCCGTAGGATTTAGGGTGTATCGAGTCTTGAACTCCGAGCTTTCGCCGGAAGCCTCCTGCCTAGACCTATAGCCTGACACAGACACCTACTAAACCAGATAGCCCCTACTTACACTTTCTAAAGTCTCCTCAGACAGACAAAACCTCTCCTCCTCACAGCCGAAAGTAGCCTTTGAAAAAGAACACCCCCTAGTACACTAAGCCCATCTAAGCCTTGAGCCTGAACCCCTAAACCCTAAACCCTACGCCGCCTACGCAGTCTCATGGCGACGCCAGAGCCATGGATTCAGAGGCGGTGGAGCTCAAAGTTCGAATCGCCGATGCCCAAGGGCTCCGACTGCAGAGAGGTGGCGAGATTCGACTGGTGATCACTCTGTGGCACAGCTGAAGTTGGGGTTTTTAGGGTTTGAGGCTTGGGGTCATAGTTTGGGGGTCGTTTTGGGTTTACGGCTCTAGGGGTTTTTAGGGCTTGAGGCTTGGGGTCATATTTTGGGGGTCGTTTTGGGTTTAGGGCTCTAGGGTTTAAGGTTTGGGTTCCAGGGTTTAGGAACTGTGGCTTAGGATGTGGCCCACTATCCCGATGTGTATATATTCATGGATTTCGGCAAGCGTACGCACACACACACACACTTTTTACAGTAGAATAGTGTAGGTGGCTGGTGAGCGGGGGTTGGATTCAAGCTTTGCTTCATGGTTTATGTGGGTAGTTGTCAAAATTATGGCCCCGTTTGGGGTACCCTAAATAATAGGTGCCGTATTATAATAAGGACCCAAAAAGGGACCATAATTTTGACAACCACCCATGTAGAGATGCTGGGTTTGGAGTCAGCCCCTAGCCAGGTACAGCCCTAAAGCCTCAGCCGCAACCGGATCTTGAAGTCGGTTCTCCCGTGTCAAACTGCTGAACTGCTGGGTCCTTGCAGCTAAACCCTAAACCGTAAACCCTAAAACCCTATACCCTAAACCCTGAACCCTAAACCCTAAACCCTAAACCCCAAACCCTAAACCCTAAACCCTAAACCCTCATTAGTTGGGAAGTCTCGTCGCAAGCCTCGGCCTCAGCACCGGCTCAATGTTTGTGGGGAAGCGAGTCACACCCAAAACCCTAAACCCGAAACTCCTAAACCCCTAAACCCTAAAGCCCTACACCCGAAAGCATCATATTAGCCCTAACCCTAAACAGGAAAAGCACCATAATATGTTCTTCCAGCTTTACCCCGAAGCTTTTCAGAGTTCTGCTTCTCCCACAGATAAGATGAAGCCTGCTCGTTGCCACTGAACCCTGCAAGTCTTTCCGGGTCCCCATTGGCAGGGGCCCTATATCTTCTATATTCGGGCTCAGAGTATAAGAACCTACAAAAACATAGGTTCTGGTAGTGTATGCTTATGTGCTGAAGCTTTGAGCTTAGAAAGCCGGGGATCTCGGAGCGCGGTTCTTGAGCCTGCCTGGAATATTTAAGGTACCGGATTTAGGGTAAAGTTTAGGGTTGAATCTTGAACGTTCCGGATATGAAGCCTACCGTAGTAGTATGCAGCCTAAACCCTAAACCCTAAACCCTTCCCGAATCTCGCGCCTTGAGCCCTAAGCGCGAAACCCCAAACCATCCTCTGCCCACCATATTCTACGGCACGTCCCTGAAAGTTGGAACATGGGTTTGAGAGGAATAGTGCTAGGATCCCTTATACTTTACCTGATGATCATGTTCCAACTTTTTGGCTTCTTCTATATTTGCTGTTGTAAACTTTGAACCCATAGACAAATGCGTAAACCAGGATGATGCCTACCTACCAATCCGAATGAACAAGGCCCCTACGAATCTTACAAGCTTCAACAGGTGCACCTCCCTGGACCGCGAGGGTGCAGAGTTTGGTGCCAAGGTAGCTCAGGGTCCAAGGCCTAAACATGAGGTCAGGTCAAACGACAAGTCACATTATTGTCCTGATACCTCCAAGATACAGTATAGAGTATAGGGAGCCCCTGCACAATGTATTCTATATACACCTTCCGAGTATGTTGGAGTTCACAAGATTTCGCACACCCCTGATCTAACTAGCCCCGTCGAACAGGAATGGTACTCTCGTGGCCTGAACAGTCAAATTCTAGTAGGAACGAAAGGATCTTCATGCTGAAGTTGCCCTAAAACGAAGCCTTTGCAGGTTGCAGTACTTCTTTCCTCTGGAATTGAGAACTCCAACAAGCCTGCAACGAATCCTTCGAAGCCCAAAATCTTTGAAGCCCCTGGTGTCCTCCCCGCAGTCAGTTGAGTCTAGAATGTTCCATAAACCCTAAACGAGCTGCGCGAGTGTTGGAGAGCGAACCCAGTTGTGAAATCCCCCACAATGATAGTATATAGGTTTAGGAACTGTGCTTTGAAGGCCACAAGCCCATCAAGCCCTTGATTTCCTCCAAGCTCATACTGTTTGTTTCCGGGTGACCCTTAACCCTGAACCTAAAGATAAAACAGCCTAAACCCTCAACCCTTAACAACAAACCTGAAAGTGTAAAGCTGAAAGCAAAAGCAAACTCTAATGTAGGGGCCGTAATAAAAGCCTATAGTATTTTGGGGGTTCCTTATTATAAGTATAGTACAATGGGCCCCAGAACCCTGTTCTAATTATTAACGCCCCTATATTAACCCTCAAGCCGGTTCGGTTGCTGTAAACTTCCAGGTGACTCCCTGGCTGCCCGTTCCTCCAGATGAGGCGCCCCAGTGGAAGGCCCGTCCAAAGGAGGTCGCTCCAGTTTCTTCGTTTCAACGTTTGCGCGTTTAGGGTTCAAAATTTAAGGTCGTCGTCTCGATGCTTTAGAGGGCTTCAACGGTTTAGGGTTTAGGGTTCAGGGTTTAGGGTCTAGGGCTTTCAGGTTTAAGATAACTGCTTGATTTTACTCCGCTTCAAGTACTGGCAGCCGCTAACCTTGTAAAGCCCCGTATCGAAAACGAGTGATAGACCCGATATAAGCTGTGGCCCCCTGTGACAACTGTTGAAGAGAAAAAGACAATCTCTGTGAACCCCTTGTAGCGGCCGATATACACCACCCCTTATAAAAACATTCTGTACAAAGCCCCCCTTGTGAAAACCTCCTTACAAGCCGCTGAACCCAAAACCCTAAAACCAAGAAACACAAGCAAGCAAACACAACCCTAAACCCTAAACCCTTAAACCATCAAGCCCTCATCCCCCAAGAAACTAGCACCAAAAATGCCCTTAACCAGGCCAGGGAGGCCATCTTCCGCCTGCCGCAGAGTCGCTGCTTTGAGGCGGAGTTCGTGGATTCCGCGCACCTCCACATCGCCCTCATGCAGACGCCCTGGCTGCAGTGTGCTGATAAGAATATACTATGTGAACTATTCAAGCTCTTGAGCTAAAGCCTTAAACCGAAACCCGAAATGCCGGATCGCAGGAAGGGGGCCGAGCAGCCTGAGAAGACGACCCTGGCTGGGGCCGCGCTGGGTGGAATTTCAGCTTCCTCGCTGCCATAGAACAGGGCTGAGGGCTTAGGAGTTTGGTGAAGAAAAAAGGGGTCAGGGGTTTAGGGGCTTTTTCGGGGTTGAGGGCTGAGGGTTTACGGTAATTCCGAGCAAGAACTTTCAGGGTGTATGTGTCTGGAAAGCATGGCTTGAGCAACACGCTTTACAATATTCCAATGTGTCCTTTAAGACCTTGAAACCATCCGTAAACAAATAGACCCTGTAAATCCCACAGCACCTTCTAGACTTCTTGAGAAACACATTGCTGTGAACCTTCTAGCGCCCATGCCCACCAAGAGGCCTTCAAGCAGGGTGGCTTCTCGGCCCTGCGCTCGCATGCGGCTGCCTCTGCGTCGGCGTTGCCGTTGCTTCTCGGTACAGGGTTGATGATTGGGGTTTAGGCGTCTGGGTTTTATTTTCAGGTTCGTAGAGGTATATACAAAGATTCTACGTTGATGGGTGAATTAGGCCGGGGACAGAACACTGGCAGTAGCAACCCAAACCTAGTTACAAATAGTCATAAGTAACCATTGGGTTTAATTCGAGCAATGATTGAGACAGCCCCAAACCCTAAACCTATAAGCAAGCCAATAACACTTGAGCCCCAAATCATAAGCCCGCAACCTAAGCTCTACAGAAAAGTGAGTCCCACAATCTAAGCCCTGAACCCCAGGCCTAGACCTTAAAACCAAACCTACCTGACCTACCTATCCTGTAACCCTCTTACCCCTGCTGCAAACTTATAAACCCCCTTGAACCAATAGCACAAGATCATAAGCTTACTCGACGGACGGGAGAACTTTAAGCTTTAAGGGGTTTCTTTATTTGGCCGATAGGACAACTTAGAGCTTACTTCCGTGCCTGTTTATAGAGGAAGAGAGTAAACCTAAGCCTTAAATCCCTATACCCTAAGCACCTCATCCCCTAAACCCTAACTTGAAATCCCCTCGTGCAGACCTTGCCTGGCTTGTCCGGGTGTGAGTGTCAAAAACCCTTTAGTACTTTTGGATAATAACCGGCCCTATACAGCTGAAAGTTTACAATTTTTTCGGGTTTTATGAACTTGGCAACTAAGAACCCTAAACCCGATCCCCTAAACCCGAAACCCTAAACCCGAAACTCTAAACCCAAACCCCTAAACAAACCCGAAACTCTAAACCCTAAACTCTAAACCCAAACCCCTAAACCCTAAACCTCTAGACCCTTCATCTCTAGAAGTCCCGAGGGGCGGCTTTCAGAACGAGCGCGGGGACCTCGTGGGCTCCTTGAGACTCGGCGTGCATATATGAAAAACTGTATATCAGCATATCTGATCGGATGCAGAAATTAGGAGTTTCTTGAAGTGATGTGTGGGGTTTGTTTCGAGCTTAAGGAATTTAAAAATAAAGGTCCGAACTCTTTGTCAAAATCTTAGTCTCTTCAAAGTGACTGTGTAGGGTCGTGGGGGGGTGTTACAGGGCTGTTGCTATCTGGCCTTATCGGGTTTGTTGGTGGTGGGTTGTTGCAGGATTGTGCGGTAGTGGTTGACGGTTAGCTTCTAGTAGTAGTAGACCCGGGCGTCAGGGCTCCCATCACCTAAGAACTCCTACGTGGTATCTGAGCACTTCCGACATGTGCTATGTGGTTAAGACAATTCAGCTAAGATGAACTAAACTTCAAACCCTAAACAGAAGCCGATCATTTCGTGGTTGGGCTTCGGTGGCTTGGTTAGAGACCTCGATTTGGCTACACGCCTGAAGGTCAGAGGGCTACTTAAAGGATCATGGGACTTAGTAAGTAGGGTTTAGGGTTTAGGGTTTAGGGTTTAGGGTTTAGGGTTTAGGAGGATCATGGGACTTAGTAAGTAGGGTTATAATTAAGGTAACTATACTTACAACCCCAATTAGGGGACATATAACCTTACTTACTAAGTTCCATGATCCTCCAAGTAGAGACTGCGAGCAGGATGTGTTGTTTGCGAAGAGCAGCCGGGGATAGGATCCAAGTTGTGTCTGTGGAGGCGTGGACCTTGGTGCTGCATCCCTTATCCCCAAAACCTAAACCATAATTAAACCCTACCCCACGCAGCCTTGCTCCTCAAAGGGCAGTTGATTCCAACGGCTGGGCCTGCGGGCATTAGAGGTCAGAGGGATGGATTTGAGAGGTACTGTAGCTTTTGTGGAATGCGGGGGTTCGTCCCAAGATGCTGCAGCATCCACGATTTAGGCCCGGGAGTGAGGTCTACCAAGGGAAGAAACTTTCTCTCGCATCCCGTTTTTTCCGGCCACAGCTTACGATTCCCTGAAGTTTTCTTGTGAGGAAGATTTCGGTGGGACGGCGGCTTGCCTGTGCAGAAGAGGATGGAGGCCCCACTTGGCTTCAGCTGCTGGATGTGGACGGCAGGAACGTGAAGGGGCAGTTGCTTCTTGCCTTCTCTGAAGAATGCGCTTTGATCCTGTTCTTTGTGTCGTAATCAACCAGAAGCCTTCACTTCAAATCCAAATTTCGGTACACCGGAACAGGAGTCCTAGCTTCGACACTACGCCACTACGCTTCCTTCCCAGACCCCCGAAAGGATCTAAAAAATTGATCCCCTAATCAGGGACCCTAACTACTAAAGGGTACTTTATAGGAACCCCCTTAGGGGATCTATTTTTTAGATCCTTTTGGGGGTCTGGGTTTCTCTAGCCCAGGATGCCTCAGCTCCTGCCAGCCCAGAAAACTGCAACCTAGCCATGTTCCTGAACAACGTCCGGCCGCTAGAGCACCCCAAAACCCTAAACCAAGAGCCCGAGTGCCGGAATTCGTGGCTCCACCACCGCAGCATACTGCAGTTAGGTCCTGTATGAGGAATGTATATTGCTTCTTGGGTGCTGACGAACCTAGAGTCGAACGAGTCGTTTTCGGATTTGCCCTAGAACCCTTGCATTAGCAACCCCACCCAAGGCTAGTTGACTTTCCACAGTCGCCTCCAACTCCTGCACCAGCTGTGACGAGTCCGCCGCGAGAGAAGGCGGATCTCGCAAGCTTCAATGTAGAGGTTTGAATAATTACCAATATTATGCCTTAGGGCTCCGTATTAATATAAAGTCAAAGTTATGGTATCCTGTCCCCCGCAAACCTGATCTTTCGGCTTTCGGGGTGTTGAGATTTGCTCGGGGCTTCGAGGGCTCAGGGTTGCAGCGCGACGGTTATTTTGCCAAAAAATTCAAACAAGTTTGAGGCCCCAGGATGCATTGGGGCTCTTCGGCTTGGGTTTAAAGTTTAGGGTTGCTTTGCTTCAACTTTAGGCGGCTTGAATTTGGGGTGCGAGGGCTGTCCTGTAGATGTCTGGGTATGTCTGAATACCAGCGACAGGCAGGTGCGCCTCTCACAGTCCTGCATAATATCGATTCAGGCCCATCTACCAGTCCTTCAGATTGAGGGGCCTCGTTTTTTGCGGGAGTTTCGTTGGCGTTGGTTGGCTGAGGTGGTATAGGGTAACCCAACGATCTCAGCATGCCCTCATTCAGGATTATTCCGTAGATCAGGGCATACTCCTCAGATTCAGACTTATTTCTGAGATCCAGGAATCTTCTTCAAATTGAGCCGGGTGTTTTCTGAGAAATGGTTGTAGTTTTTTAGGCATTGGTGTTGCTGAGGAAAAAGGCCGGATCTCGTTCAGGCGTTCAAGGTTCAGGGCTTCAGTATGTTTCAGTTCAGATTCTCTAAACCTAAACCCTAAACTTAGGGGCTGAGTAGGTAACCTTTAACTTTTTAAGGCTTATATAATCCTACTATAATTCAAAAGGTTAACCTTTTTCTGGGCTAGGGTACTCAGCCCCTAAGTAAACCTTCTCCTCATGGGGAGCAAAGTAACGCCGGCTGGCACCTGGCAGACCTCGCCTGGCTTGTCCTACGGTTTAGGGTTTAGGGTTTAGGGCCTAGGGGTTTAGGGTTTAGGGTTTAGGGTTTGTGAGATCGTAAACCTTCTCCTCAACCCCAAACGCCAGAGCTAAACCATAAACCCTACACAATGAGTTCCAAAGCCTACTATAGAAGCCTCAATACTGTTCCTTAGGGATCCCGAAGATAAGTAATGCAGAATCAACCCCGAAGCCGCTAAGCCTCATTCTGATTCTAGATACAAAACCCCCCTTGTTTATGGAACTCCTTTTTCTGGAACCGTTTAATGAACGCTTATAAAGGCACCATACTAGTTTAGAGAACCCTTTAGTTGAACCCCCTTATAAAGGATCCATACTAAAGTTCTTAACCCCGAAGCCCCAGAGGCACCCGGGGATCCTAAACCCTAAACCCTAAACCCTAAAACCCTAAACCCTAAACCCTAAAACCCTAAAACCCTAAACCCTAAACCCTAAACCCTAAAACCCTAACTAAACCCTAAACCCTAAACCCTAAAACCCTAAAACCCTAAAACCCTATCCAGACGATCGGAGGAGCCCCAGGCGCGGCGGACGGAGGAAGCTCCGAGGGCCACGGATGAGCCGAGACAGAGACCACCCGAACCCTACCCTGAAGTTCGGCAGTTTAGGGTTTAGGGTTTAGGGTCTACAGGGGACGTTGGCCGGGCGAGCTCCAATCAAGCCTGTGTAAAATGGTCTTGGGGCTGCATGGAATATTGGTAAATTTGGTAAGATCGAGCTTTTTGGGTTTTGTTGGCGAGCGTGGGGGCTTGTTAGCACTGTTTGCTGAGTGTCTCGAGGGCGTCAATATGGAGATGCTACGTCCCTTAAACTCTGACTCTAATTCCACATCTCTTAGAACTCCCCAAAGACTGCTGGCCTAGCCCCTCAGCTCAGACCGCACAACTTAAACTCCAAAGGGATGTGGGTCTCGTGCACAGCCCCCTGAAGCCGAAACACCCACTTCGTGGTACAAATTCGAAAGGGCAGACATCCAAACCCCCGAATCTGAGCTCTTGTTGCTACTGTCGCGATAGAGTCGCAGTCGTCGCAGGCCTTCCTCATGATAGTGAATAAGTTGTTTGCCACCCTTCTACAGCCCTTACCCTGCCCTTAAAAATAACTATATCCCCAAAAAAGCTAAAACATCCCCAAGAGCTCCAAAAACCTACACCCTAAGCTTTACTGTAAGCCCAAGAAAAAAAAACGCCGAAAGCCGAGGAGGAGCCGAGACCGGCATGGGAGAGTCGGCCCTTTCAGGCCGCGAAGCCCGACGTCGAGGCCTGACCCAAGGGTGTGAGTCCTATAGGTTTAGGGGTTTAGGGTTTAGGGTTTAGGGTATAGTTCCTAAACCCTACTCCTTTTTGAGGGATCCTTCAAGGGGTAATTTAAGCCTCCCTTTTTGAGGGATCCTTTAAGGGGACAAGCCTAAGCCTAAACTGTATTGACTTGGGTTCTATTGGCTAAGCTACCCCCTGCAAGGTTTCGGGCTTTGAATAGGCACAAAACCTGCATCTGCCATGTGGCGGGAGAAAGTCTCTAGACGCCGGAAACACCAGTCGCAGCCAAAATCTGTGACGGGAGCATCGTAAGCCCTAAACTCTAAACCGGGAGGCGGACAAGGGACGCTGGCCTAGAGACGATAAACACCCCAAAACACACATAATTGGCACTGTGTACGAAAAGCCCAAATGTAGTCTCATATGAATGACACCTTGTATCAAAACCCTGGCAAAGCCCGTCCGTGAGAACACCTACCAGAGATTAGAGAATCTAACCGCTTCACCCCAAGCCTCCTAAACCCGGAACCCTAAACCTCTTGACACCTGCTTCACCTGCTGGCTGTTAAAACAGAGTTCAACCAACGGGCTAGCGTCTTATCGGAGACCTCGCCAGGCCTGTCTCAGCGGTGAGTCCTGAAGCCTCATTAAGAGATGAAGCCCTGAACCCCTAGAGACTTAAACCCTAAACCACCTTAAACCCTAAACCCTAAACCTTCAGCCCTAAACCACCTTAGACCCTAAAGCCTAAACCTTCAACCCTAAACC